GTGCGAAAAACCTTCTGTCACGACAAAAAGAACCAAATTTCCTTGCGGTAGATGAAACTATAGATTCAATGTAGTTGTTCCACTTCAGGTCAGTGGATAGCATCAGATCAAGCAGGCACAGAGATGTGCTCTCAAGGAGTTGGGCATCAGACATCCTGATGGCATATAGGGAGGATTCCCTATGGTGGGTAACTGAGAGCATTTTCGTTTTAGGTTGTCTGAATATGCAGATTTTTTTTTATTATCTAGTAAAGAAATATTTTAATTCCTGAACAGTATCAGCACACAGTCTTAATATTAATTATTAATATCAATTACAAAGACAATGTGCTAACTATAGTAATTCAAACCCTTAGCTAGATAGAACGGACTTCAACTCAGTGAATACAGAACTCACAATAACTGAGTAACACTAAAAAAGTACAAGAGATATCCTTAAACATTGGCAGTGGAATAAAAAGAATCTTCCCCATATAGATTAAATAGCATTCAGTTTAAATTTATCCAAATCAACAGACACCTGAAGAATGTATATAATGATAATTCCTCATTTCATTCCAGAATACATATACATATATATATATATATATATATATATATATATATGTATGTATGTATATTCATTCATTTTAATCAATTCACCCTAAGTAAGACAATAATACCACTAAAATACAAGAGGTTCCTGGGAGTGAAAGAGAATGAAAAGACTTCAGAAGAAGCAGAGACCCATTCCTAAACAGAAAACAAGGAAAAAGCCTGTACTCATGTTCAAAGACTTGTGAGTACTGAACAAAAGGCACATCTATCTTCTCCTATTGAGAAGAAAAAATAGTAAGTAAAATTTCAGATGGAAATATTAGAAATTTAGGCTTGAATTAGACTTTAGAATGAACAGGAAACCAACTACAAACAGGGAAGAAGGGATAAAGATGGTATATATAATGTGTGTAAATACAGACATATGCACACAAATTCATACAATATTAAATAGAAATTTAATTCAACCTCCTACAATTAATACTTATGATACTATCAAGTCAAATAAGAAATAATTGCCTAGTAAAGATATATAAGTATATGTGTATGTGTTTATATATACTGTATGTGAACACGTTTTTACTTTGAGAATTGTTTGCTTTATTTTATATTTGGATTATATATATATATATATATATATATATATATATATATATTCAAGTATGTTTGGTTGAAATATTAACATAGATCAAAAATAAAATAATACTTCCTCAAATAATCCTGAACCTCTAATACAAAAAAAAAGTAAAAAATACTAAAAAGAACTCATAAGTACTAATCCCAGCAAAAAAATAAAACTAATTATATACTATAGAAAATTTAATACAACCAACTTAATCATTTGCAGTAACGCTTCTCTGTCAACTAATGTTTTGCAAAAGACCAACATTGTATATCAATTTAAATGTCCTTTGGGAAATTCTATCTCTGGCTAAAAAGTAAATATGTATGTTGGTTTCATGACAACAACATTATCAAGAAAGTTTACTTTCCACATGTTGGATTCAAGTTCTATTACACAACATTTAAAAGAACATTCCTGTCTACATTCATGTTTTAGAGCAATTGATAATACAAGTATACTCCACTATGAAAATTAAAAACAAAAACTACAAATTATTCAAGAGCTTTATATAAAAAAATGCAACCAACACTAAAGCAGATTAATTATGAGTATAGCAACAATTCTTTAAAATGCATATAAAAGCTATATTTTGGAATGCTCAAATTATAATTTTTTTTTAAATTGCAGTTTGAGCATCTTAAAACATTAATAATGAAAAAAGTATAAATTAAGTCACCTCCTTTACATATTGATAATCCTTTGAGCCCTGCATTCCTGAACAATTTTAACCTTTCTGCTTGAGCCTCTGAGTCAAAATTTGCAAATAATTGGTATATAATGTTTCACGGTAGGTATAAAAATAGCTACAAGTGTTTACCCACCATTGAAACAGTGGTTGGGCATTAAGTCATTTTTCTTTACCAGTGTTCAGCTGGTGACTGGGCAATACGTCATTTTTATCTACCACCAGTAAAGCAGTGGACAGGGTTCAAAGGGTTAATGTGAATTTTTAAATTGGTTATAATGGAGCGCATTTAATTTATTTAATTCATTTCCTAAAATGAATTTTCTTTGTTTACGTTAGGATATAAAACAAAGCAGATATGAATGTTTTGAGAGTTGGCAGAGGGTGTGTGTTCAAAAGCAATATTTTAGGCTTTGTTTGACTAGAAGTCCTACGACCATTCCCCATAGATGATGCAGGTTCATATAAGTATAACGTTTTAAAAAAAGGTAAATTAAAAATAGCAATATGTCAGATTTAATCCATTTCCTAAAAACACACACACACACACACACACACACACACATATATGTATATATATATATATATATATATAGATAATATTAGTGGAAAATATACATACATATGCAAAATATATATAAAAAATTCCAATACATGTATATTTTCAGAAAAAAATTTTTTTCCAAGAGGAAGGATCCAGGTAGAACTCAATGTCTAGGACAGAGTAAGGATATAATAAAAAGGCTTAAACACTAATATTCCATGGTCATAATTTATTCCATTGGAATCGTAAATACGATCCAAATCATCAGACCTACAAATTCAAAATGAAAACAGAAAAAAACAACTCCGGAAATCAAAACAGAATTTAGAGAAAGTGTAAGTATGAGGAGGAGGGAGTTGAAACCTTAACAGAGAGAATTTTAGGAGATGTGGTTGGCGGGGGGAATTTAAAAAGAGGAGAGAAAGAAAGTCGACGAATGTCTAATGCATAAAGATACATTTCGTGGCAACATATACACACCATAGACAATTAGGATAGGAGGGGGGGGAAAGAAAGAGAAGAGGTGGGGGAGAGAGATGGGACAAAGGAAAATAAAATTGTGTTTACTTAAAGGGCCACTTTGTAATTGAGAAAATTTGACAAATTAATATCGACTACAGGTTAGAAATCAAATATTTATTTTTATTATATATACATATATCAAAATAAAAAGAAAGAACAGTCAGATTTATAATTTAGCATTTATTTTTAAAACCAGTGATTGATACACAGTAGAGCATAATATTGTAATATTATAATTTAAAAATATGTATTCATCGCGACACAAAAATTACCAGGTTTTGGGACTAAAACCTAAACTTTAAATTAAAATTAAAGTTTTTTGTTCTACTCTCAAGTGATGCTGAATAACTTTTGCAAAAATGATTCATGATTTGCAATGTTGAATAAATTTTTTTTTAAAAGTTAAGTTCAACATTGCATGAGAATGGAACAAAAACTTTAATTTAAAGTTTAGTTTTTAGTTCTGAAACATGATAATTTCTGTGTTGCAATGAATGCATATTTTTAAATAATAATAATAATAATATATATATATATATATATATATAAATATATATATATATATATAATATTTATCATTTAAGCATTAGTACCAATTATTTATGTAAAAGATAAAATACAACTCCCCTAACAAAAAAAAAAAAAAACTAGAACAGCCAAAAATTAAAAACAATGTCAAGTCTACATTTTATAATAATTCATCCCAAATGGCAATTGTCGAAAGGAAAGAGGATAAATGAAAAAAGAGAAAAAGTCCAAGAGAAAGTGAAAAGTGAAAAAAAAAGAAAACAAAGAAAAGGGCAAATAATGACAATACCCCTACATGTATGCACATCTGAGCAGATGGGTGAATGCACATCTGCACAGACAGGTGCATGGTTGCTTGAATACAAATACCCACACAAACACAAAAAATGTTATATACCGTACCTATGAACACTAATGGGTATGTCCCAATTCTCATAAATACGTTGGACACTATTGTAAGTGAGCGTATATGCTGTTTAAGTAGTCCACCACCATCAGCTGTGGTTTACTTACTCCATGCTGCTGGTGAGTATTGTATTTTGTTGATGTTATAAAGATTACCGTTTCATTTTCAACATCTGTTTTGGTTATCTTTCTAGGTTATAACAACGAATAAAAAAGAAAAAAATTGAAAAAATATAAGCAGTAAATTGCTGATACCCTCTGAAGAGTGGATAAACAGGTGTGCCTACAAAACTCTGGAGTTGGGATGCTGAAGGTAACATCAATCATCTAAGTGACAAACTTTTACACATTTTAATTCTATATTGCAGTTGTGAATCCCATGACTCATCACATATACTGCAGTTGTAGTAGAAGTGGTATGTCTTGGGCAAGATAGCCTGACAGAGTTCAACTTTTACAAGGCCATTTTTTAATTCAGAGTTTCCTTCTCCTAGACCAGTTGCCAACCAATGCTAAAGAACCAAGTTTGTCACACACACACACACACACACACACACACACACACACACACACACACACACACATAAGTATATAAACACACACAGAAACACACACATATATGTAAATATACTTGCCCGGACATACACATATATAATATATTTATTTCAAATGTCATCTTTAATGATATTTGTATTTGTATAGACACTGTATATTTTTTTTGAAAATTGACCTGCACACACACACACACATATATATATATATATATATATATATATATATATATATAATTATTTATTTAAAAATATGATTTCAACTCATGACATAAGATCTTATGTCGCGAGTTGGAATCATATTTTTAAATAAATAATTATATTTATGCTCTACTTTTGTATCGAGCACTATTTTTAAAAACAATAACTAAAATACTAAGGAACTTTGAATTATTTACCTAACCAGTTCCTTCCTATTTTCTATATATTTTCACACACACACACACACATATATATATATATATATATATATATATATATATATATATAATTCGTTGATTTAATATATCCTTTTTGATGTTTTATACTAGAGAACATATGGTTGGTCCAAGGGTCTACAGAAATTGCCCACAACTTTTTCAGGTTAACCCATCTTGCCTGTCAATGGACTTTGTTCAATGCTTGCTAGATGGCATGGTAATTGGTGGTATAAAAAGAAATTACCTATCTCTCTCTCTTTTTCACTTTTTTGCTCATTCATTCACAGGATGGAGTAGGTAGAAAATGTGTTAAACAGTCCCTGCTGCTGTGGGTAGATTTTTCCACAGGCAAATGGACTTCTTAATTTCACACAACAATGTGGCACATCACACATTATAGTTAACCTATAGTTTTCTTTCATGCCATGTTGCTGATTGCTATGCCATCGAGTGAAGTTCATTGGCAGACAAGTTGGTGCAATCCCTCAGTTTTGTTCTTGATTTTAGTGCATATAACCATTCTCTACTTGAAAACACAAGAACAAGACCTATATTTTGTTGCCTTAAAAATGATGAGGCATCCATCACTTGGCTGGTCATTAGCTGGGCACTCTGATTTCAAAAAAGTCTTTCACAGCGAGAATGGTAAATCCACCAGAATGTGTCCATTGCAGTGATAGGGAGCAGTCTTTTCTCACTGCGTGGCAGTGCACTTCCTGTGCATGGTTCTTGAATACTACATGGTTCTCAGGATTCAGTATTAGTTTTTGCTTTGGAAGTTCTGCTTATCGTAACATGAAGATGAAATGCTGTATATTTTGTGGTTATTAACTGTGATGCGAATATCGATTTGGCTTAGGCGAATGAAAGAAATCCAGAGAGATTTATCTCTTTTTCTCCATCATCTGGACATTTAAGTATCAGATTAAGGTTAAGATTGAAATGGGGAGAGAGATAAGCTATTCGTTGTACTTTGGTGAAAGGTGAGAGAGTGTGGCACAGTTGTGTCATGTGAGTGGGGTTCACTTAAAATAGCATCTTCAATTGGTTGATCATGGATTTGCACTTCCGAGAAAAACTTGTTAGTCCAGCCCCAGTTAAAATAATGTCGTTTTCCATTTATTAAGCTGGTTTAACTTTAGCTAGGGAATGCATGCTAGTCAGCCTTTTTGCATTATTTTGGTTTCTCTCTTTTTCATTTATTCCGTTAGATAACAGATGTTCGACAATGATGAGGGAATGTTTAAATTTATTTTAATTTTACATTTTCATACATCAAACTTGATTTTTTTTTTGCTATGTTAGACTATAGGAGACTCAGACAAACACATTTTTGCAAATAGATTTTATTTCATGTAAATCATCAGGGAAAATTTTTTAATTTGCTATATATAAATATATATATATTTGTTGTGTAGGAAACCTACCACCCCTCTTGAAGATGAACTTGTCTACAAACAAAGACTTTAAATAATGGCATGTCAAGAGACAGAGTCGGAGAAGTTCTTGGCTGAGCTAGTTATAGACTACTCAGGCGATTTCTGTACCTACTTACCAACCTAATAAACCCCTTTTTTATTGTTACATGTTATTTGGCGTTTGTCTTTACTAACCCCAAATCAACATCATAACATTATTTTATTTATCTCTTTAAATAAAATTTGTCAAATGGATTGTGTAAGAATATTCACTGAGAGAATGTGATTCAGATGATTTTTACATCAAGGATTTAGAATAATGTCCTCATCTTTGTTGTTATTGCAACTCATTGTATTTCATCTGTTATCACTTCCAGTTTAACCATTCACCCTTGGGTGGAATACTGCTGCCATATATGGTCTGGAAACCCTGCTGTTCGTCTTAAGGTCCTTCACAAAATCTAAAAACAGATATGCATTGTGATTGGTTCTGATCTGACATCTAGTTTACAGTTGCTCTCTCACAGACGTACTTTTGCTTCCTTCTGTCTTTTCTTCAAATACCTTCATGGTAACTGCTCCAATGGGCTACTTTCACTAGTTGCTAAACTGCATGAATTTAAAACATGCTACTAGGTTGGCATCTCAGTCCCACTCTTTCACCATCAAAATGGTTAAATGTAGCCATCTCTTCAACTCCAATAGCTTCATGTCTCTCACTTCCTGCCTGTGGAACTCCTTTCCTCTTACTACCTTCCCTGATAGCTGTAATCTCCAAATATTCAAATGCGATGTCAGTCGACATCTCCAGATGCCTTGATCTATTCCCCGACTTTCTCTTCATCTTTTCCTCTATCATGCCTCTTTACTTGTATTAGTGGCACTCCTGCCTTGCTTGGGGTGAAATGCTTAAAAAAAAAAAAGAAGATTTATATAGGCCCATTTCAACCTGGGTTAGCATCAGGGAATTTCAAACTGAACAATGTATTTAATCTGGAGAGGGAGATTGGTTTTCTATCTATGTTATCACATCTTTTCTATCTTTATCTATGTTATCACATCTTTTCTATCTATGTTATCACATCTTTTCTATCTTTATCTATGTTATCACATCTTTTCTATCTATGTTATCACATCTTTTTTCATTTTAGTACTATTCAGTTATGAAAATAATATAAATCATGAACTCCTCATCTCACAGAAATTCAAAAAGAAAGTCTCCCCCTTCAATTTTTGGCCTCGTACCATATTTATATATGAATCAACTCTCTTTAATTCCAGGCTTACAACTATATCATGTTGAAACACTGGTTCTCCTCTGATCACTGAAGTTAAGAAACAGCAAGACTGGTCAGTACCTTAAATGGGTACACCAGGTTAGCTTGGATGTGCAGGTGGTGTAATTGATAACAGCTAGAAATGAGAAGTTGGTGAGCCAAGTTTGAATTCCATTCAGATTCATTGAATTCACATATGGACAAATACCTTTGGGGAATAATTTGAATCCACCTCTTCCCCCCAGATATGGGTTAATTAGTAAGACTTGTATCATTAAATCATTATCGTCTCCAGAAAAGTTGTTAATACAATATTCACTTGCTACAAAAAATTCTTATAATCCAAAAAATGTTTTTCTTTTAAATAACTTACAAAAGGTTGAAAAAAACAACAAATCAATAAAAAAAATCTTTTTACTTCCCCTTCCCAAATGAAATTCAAAATATGGGCTTTGTTAGAATTTTTGCTGAGTGAATGTGACAGGTGATGGTTGCATTACATATTCAGAATAAATACTGTTCAAAATAGTTTAGCAGACTATTATTTTTAGGAGGAATGGTATCTCTGTTCAGACTTCCACTGGTTGACCTTTGAGGTCAGATGGAAGACAAAACAAAGAAGTCAATTTTGATTGGCTGAACAAACATGAGAATGATACAGAAAGGTTTTTCAGGGAGTTGCTTCCTACACATCAAGCAATGTAGATGTGTTTTCTTTCATGTTTGTAACAGCAGCCCAAGTGGAGGGAAAGTGACCCCACTGGATAGTTAGAAAATGTAGGCGTCAATGTCATTAATAAACTAGATAAGGTAAAATCCCCTGTGTTCTTTTATCTCGGGACTCAAAACAACTAGCAATCACTGGCCAAGAGAGGGCTGGGTGAGACCACCCTCACAAGGGAGCTATGCGTCAATAAAATGTTATGTTAGAGAAACAACAGACTTTTGTGGTTAGTAAATGTAAAGTACTCAGTAATGACATGATAGTGAAAAATTTATTCTTCTTTTTCAGATTATTATATTACATTATATAGATGATTGTATTAGGAGGCATGTTGGAGTAATGGACAGTGACTCAGATTGAGGAATTGGAGAGCTGAGTTCAAATCCATTGCATTCATTTAGGTGCTAATACCATTGGGAAAGGTATGAATCCTCCTCTTCTCCCCACAGCTATGGGTAAGTAACAGGACAGACTGGGTTCTATAGCCTTGGATGGCAACTGGTCTACTGCAGAAAGAAATAGCAACCTACTGTGGGAAAAAATCTGCCTTGTCAATCATGTATCAAACGATACATGATCGCCTAACTGTGTATCATGCATGCAACATAACTGACAAATATAGATGATAATTATGACAAAGATGATGACAATAGTCTGCATGTAAACAGTGTAAATAATGGTAATGCTTCATCGCAGAAATTTCAAGTCAGACATTTGTCATAGCGTGCATATCTGTATAAAATTCTTGTCTTATTCCTGCAGTTCCATTTCAATGAGCTTAGCTTAAACACTAAATTGTGTGAACAAGTCTTATTTGCAGAAGAACATGTAAGTGAAATCTTATTCTGCAAAGTCATTAAACCACAGCTCCAATTCTAGAGTGGAGAGGAACATTTAAAAGAAGGATGTTGCCGGTAGTACAGAATGGAGAAATACTGGATTTATTGAGTGACATAAGCAGAATGTAAAACAGAAAAAAATCAAGATTGTTTATCAATTCAAATAAAGTGTTTATCTACCTCTTTATCTATCTACTTACCGATCTACATATTTCAGTCTTTTCATATCTCTCTCTCTCTGTCTATCTATCTTTCTATCTATCTATTTCAGTGATTTCATATCTATATATATCTCTCTCTACTTATCTATCTACCTCTCTACCTATATATCTATCTCACAGTCCATCTATATATTTATCTATCAATTTATCTACCACTTTTTCTGTGTATCAGACTGTATCGATATATCTCATTCTGTTCATATCTATCAATCTATCGATGCATATATATTATTTATCTACCTATCTATCTATGCATATACATTATCTATCTATCTATCTATCTATCTATCTATCTATCTATGCATCCACATTATCTATCTATCTATCTATCTATCTATCTATCAGGGCATATACATTATCTAGGTATCAATCTATCTATTACCATTGTGCTCCCTCTATATGTATAGATCAGTGTAACTATTTCTCTCTATCTCTCTCTCTCTCTCTTTCTCTCTCTCTCTAGATATATATATATATATATATATATATATATATATACATGATAAAAATATATATTTATGGGTAAAATTGTTTAATATCAGGGATAGTGCGTAGGTAAATATAAAATGGCCTCTCTCTCTCTCTCTCTCTATATATATATATATATATATATATATATATATATATATATATATGTATATAGTTTATGTAAACTTAGGTAATCCGTATGGGTAAACCTGAGGAGGAGGATATCCAGAGAGCTCAATGTGAAATTCAGAGCAGACATGTTTGAATAAAAGACAGACCACATTAAGATTCCATGTAATAAGCTATTTCACCATAACCCCTTTAACAGGGTTCTGGATCATCAGACTTTACTTCCAAAAAGCTGAAATGAATAGTCTATATATATATATATATATATATATATATATATATGTATATATAATATATATATATGTCCAAAATCACCTGAAGATTCCGAAAGGTTGAAACCAAGGTAGTGGAATTGGCTGATTTCCTAATTTTCTATATTTAAAAGCTCTACGGACTTAAAAGTATATAAATCTTTTACTTTCAATCCATTCTGAAGGAAGAGATTAGGGTTTGCTTTGGATTAATTTCACAAAAGGCTATATGAAATGAGATGCGGATTTACCTTTAAATTGATGCAAAAATGCTGGGAAAAATATATTAACTCTTACAACATGAACTAAGATTTATAAAGAAAAGATACAGAGCAAATATTAACGGCTTCTTAAAAAGTCACTTATTTTTAATCAAAAACACCAGCTTATATAAAAGTACTATCATTCATTATTTACACATGCCAACAAATACTCATACACACATTTCTTTCTTTTGGTTTTGGAACTGATGAAGTCTAGAATGCCAAAATGCATAATTAAGTTTCTATGAAGCATTTTCCATTTGTCAAATTTCTTAAAACTTTGTCAGGGTTCCACATACTATTTTAAACATATATATATATATATATATATATATATATATATATATAGAGAGAGAGAGAGAGAGAGAAGAGAGAGAGGGAGAGATAGATAGATAGTTAGATAGATATGTATATATATATATATATATAGTTATCTAAATACAAGGCTGTTTTGCTGTATCACAGCTCATCAGTGTGGCTAGACATCTGATTGCTTCAAGCCAGGATTGAAAATCAACTGATTTGGCATTAGTCAGAGATCTTACCCCTAATCTATTGGTGCATGGCAGAGAAAGGGAAATTTTTAAATATTTTATATGAACTGTATACAAATGCTAGTAGCCATTTGAAGAGCAATGCATTAATAGCAGAAGCAGCCACTGTTTTAAAACCCTTTTCTCTAGAGAGCTCGATCAGATAATGAGAGCATATATATATTTATGTATAGATATGGATATATGGCAATGCAATAACAACATATCGCATATATAATGCAGTTGTTTCTTTTTTTTCTACTCCATTTTCTTTTTCCATTTTATCATACTTTAAGTTTAAAATTTAATTTTCATAATTATGATTTCCTTCTCTCCTCTCTTTTCTCACACTTATTTTTTAAAACTTTACTATTTTTAAGGACCAGTATTAAAAATCTTTAATATTAAGTATTCCCTCATCAGTGTTGTGATAGCCAAATATATTTTGATTCAAACTCTAAAACAGTTAATTTGTGCTTAGCACCCAAAGATTGCATTGTGCATGAAACTCAGATCCATGCCAGAGGTTTAAGTTATATATATATATATATATATATATATATATATATATATATATATATATATACGAAAGAATTACTTAACTGTAATTGTCCCTGACTCCACAGTTTCATGGGACTGTGTCCATTTTTCAAGGGGTTAATCGGTATATTAAATATTTCCAGTTGTTAATAAATATCTGTTTTTTTAGCAATTTTCATATTTGCATTTTTTTAACTGCATTATAGATGCATGCATGTTCATGTTCCTTCATAAATGTAATAGTTTCTCAACTCTATATTTTTCAGTTTTCATATTTTGTAATTTTTATGTTTCATTGTTTTTTTGTTTGTCTGTATATCTTTGATCGTTTATATATATATATATGTATGTATTGTATTGTGTTTATTATATTATTTTATATTATTATTTAATTTTTATTAGTTTCTGTTGTATTTTTTATATTATGTTATATTTGTCTGTCAGTTGCAAAGTAAATATTTATTAAATTGTCTGCATTTAGCCATTTATTCATTTATCTTGTTTAATAATTTAATTTTATTATTGAATATATAAAACTGTTCTTCTAAAAATGGTATGCATTTTCTATTATTAATATTATATAGAGGTACTTTTATGATTTCTCATTTAAATTTAGTTGATGTATTTTTTCTTTCTGACTCCATATATATTTTGATAAAGTTATTTTTTTGCATATTTCCTATTTTAAGTGACATTTTGTGATTATTAAATCTTTCTTTAAAAGTTGTTTGGGTTGCTCCTATATATTTTTTTCTTCCATGTTAATGTTATTTGATGTATTTGCTTTATATATAATATTATTAATTAGACATTTATTATTAAGTGAGTAGTTGTTTTTATTTCAGTCACTACATTTATTGTTGCTATTTTGTCATTGTAATTTCTGTTATTTTTGTTTAATATTTTTTATTATGTTTATTTATTATTTTCCCCATATTATTCAAACTACTATAACTGATTTTAATTGTATTTTTATTAAAAATGTTTGATTGTTTTCTATTTTTAGGAAGTTTTTTTCATTAAATTTAAAAATATGTTTCCTATTTTTGTTTTTATTATAAGTTAGATGGTATTTATCAATTCACCCACAGGAATTGAATGTGGCACAAGGCCTTTTTAATGTGGGTATGTCTGAGCCCGTAGGCCCAGCCAAAAATAAAACCCATCTAAACCCGTCCAAGCGGGCTAGTTCCGTCAACCTCCCCGAACGAATAAGTTAGATTAAACCAAATTATATTTCTTTTTTGTATATATTATTGTAAGTTATGGATTCTAATTTATTTGAATAAGCACTTTTTCTTTTTGCTGAATCATATATTTTTTATTTTCATTAAATGTTTTTATATTGCCAAAATTAGTTGCAGTTATTTTATGAATAGACATTGGTATATGCTTAAATCTAACAGGTGGGTGATTTGAATTTTTGTTTATATACATGGGATTATTATTTGTTTTCCTATATGGATTGTATGTATTATTATTTAAATTAAATATTATATGTAGAAAATTTACTACTTTTAGATTAAATTTTATGTCTATTGTAAATCCTAATTTGTTAAATATTTTTATTATTTATTTTCTTATATCTTCACTTTTTCTACTATTACAATTTCTTACAATTATTAAACCATCTTATATCAAACTATATCCTTTTTATTAATGAGATCCAATAAATTATGTATGACTATATATCTTTGTAAGTTCCCAAAAAATGAACCATCATAACTGCCCATCAATATGTCAAAGTTCTCATTATTATTGCTATTATTTTTAGAGCCATATTTTATTGTTGTAGATTAATAATGATTTTCTACAATGATTAATTATGTCTAATTCTTCACCTTGCATGTTTATGTGTTGTATTACTAAATTTAATCATTTATTTAATATATATCTGTCAATGGATGGTTAACAGTCTTTTATATCTGTTTATATAAAGGAGCAATTGCTTTTGTTTGTAATATTGTTGAACCAATTACTTGTTCCTTTTGCATTTTTCTATTGATTTATATTTAATATTTTTCTTAATTTTGAACATATTATTTCTATTATTTGTTTATTAGTTTTTTCTATATTACTTTTTGTGGGATTTAATAATCTACATGCATGTTTGTTTAGATAATTATCCTTGTGAACATTTAATTTAATAAATGGTTCTACTTTCACTAATTGCTTAATTCTGTTATCTAATTTTAATCTTGTTGCTATGGTTTTGATTCTTTATTTATATTATTTTTTGATTCATTCTTGGTGATTTTGGAAAACTTATGTACCTCTTTTTTGATTAGATTTTTTATTTTGTGGGTTTCATTTTATTGATTGTTCTGGATTTATCTGATGTAATAAATAGTTTATTTGATTTATTCATTGATTTTATGTCATTTGTTAATTGTTTTTGAAATTTACTGTTGTTTTTCTTGTTTCAATTTTATTTACAATATTTATTAAATCATTTTCAAAATCAATAAGATCTTTTTTTGTGGTGAACATTTCATTGATGAAAATCTGAATTTATTGTTGTTCTATTTTTTTCAGTAAATAAATTTGATTTTATATATTTTTTTTATGTAGCAATATTTTTAATAAATTATTAAATTGTATAGTTTCCATATTTTTGGGAAATATAATAGTAATGAATTGATATAATCAATAGTCTGCAAATACCTATATATATATATATATATATATATATATATATATATATATATATATATAAAGAGAGAAAGACAGACAGACAGACAGAAGGAAAGAAAGATAAATCATGATAATTATTATATATTTTTAAATTGTATATACTAGCAGCTCCTGTGAAAATTTCATGCTTTTTTTCTTTGAATTTTTTGATGAATGATAATTTTTAGTTTAATGATTAAATAAATAATTTGTGAGCCTCCCAATTATAAAACGAAAACCAGAAATTCCCCTATTGCATGGTTAAATATTTGACTATAACTACTTTAAGAACACAATAGCAACGAGATAACTCATCATTGGCAAACTTTTAATTATGATGCTAATTGTGAGTTCTCACATGCTTGGATTTTCCTGATATATTCTTATCTGCGTGTTTTTATCTGTTTTCTTGCAGGGATACATTTAATGCAAAACAATGATAAGAGTTCAATTGAAGCTATAAATTAACTCAAAGTTCTTTATTGCTTAAGTTGTCTATTATAAAATTGGTATTTGAAGTCAGATTGTAATTGACCTCTGGCAGTCTATAGGTTGACAAATTATTACCAGCACAATCATAAGTATGAAATAAAAAGATACAAATGA